TTTATATATTGAGCCTCTCGTATATTTGCATTTAAATGCATTGGAGGTCTTTGTACCAAAAAAAAAATAAAAAAATAAATGCATTGGAGGAGCGTTAAAAGTTAGACATGGCAAGGGCCGACCCAGCCCGGACTGCCTGTCTTCAAATTGAACCCGTGATAAAATTAGGCTGCTCCTGAGTTTTAGTTTTTCTTTTTACTCGTTGGTTCCGGACGGGTATTTGTTTTTTATTTTTTTAAAAAGCCCACGGTTCAATGAACCGCCAAAATAAATTGGCCCATATATAGATATAGTCGGGTCGGTTCCGTGCCTAACAGTTGAGGCTCACCGACCCAGCGGACTGGGTCGGGCCGTGAAATGGTCCAGCTTCTGGACACGTCTAGTTAAAGTATGGAGAAAAGATGTTCACTTGGATGATGATACGAATATGAGTAAATTCGATGATACACGTGGTGAATAGAAGACATGTGTTTTCCGTAAATGAATGATATGGGCATCTGCATCGGTATGTTAAATTGACGTTTAGATAGTAACACCTTCGTCAATATCAATGCAGTCATCCATTTAATTGATATATATACTAGAATTTAAAAACTATGGGACCCTGGCATTTAAAAGGGTCGAACAACTATTTAGTATTTATGGAGAGAATACTATTACAATACCACACACATATGGCCCACTAAACTTATTATAGTACATGGAAATGCTAAGATCTCGTTACAGAATCATTCCATCGAGGTTTGTAACCGTATGATCAACTATCCCCGACGGTTACATGATGATCTAACGATTACAAATCCGATAGAATTGTTCCGTAACGGGACTATAGCATCTCCGTATAATACATACATACATACAAAAATTATTTTATTTATGTAACAATTTATGTAATAATCAATAAGGGGATCATTGATGCCACTTGTATTTGTTTTTAAATGTTATGCAATGAGGGTGTGGATATGGCGGGGATGAAAGATACTGTAATTTTATATATTAAATGACCCTAATAGATGTACATATATGTCAATTGCCAATAGCTTTTTTTGGTTGCAAGTGCCTTCTCCACATTCTCCTCAAACCCTCTCCATCTCAAGAACCCTAATCACCTAATAATGTCGGCTACCTCGCCTTTCTGGTCGTCATTAAGGGGCCTTCAACTGATCCAGGAGACGACCCGAAAGGCCGACGAGGTTCAAGAGCAAGTGTTGGCCCAAATCCTAGCCCAAAATGCCGGCACCGAATATCTCACAGGCTTCGGCCTCAACGGATCCACCGATCGGGAGACATTCAAATCAAAGATACCGATGACGACCTATAAAGATCTCTAGCCGTTGATCAAAAGAATAGCCGACGGCGATCGTTCTCCCATTTTGTGTGCTCAACCCATATCCACATTTCTCATCAGGTCACTCTCTATTAATTAAAATTCATATTGCTCCTTTAATTATACATTCTTTTTGTAATAATTATTTTTCTTGTATTTGAACAGCTCAGGGACTAGTAGTGGTGAACCAAAGCTTATTCCATCAAACAAGGATATGTTAGATCTACTTACTCTCGGGCTTACTGAATCTGTTCTTAACCAGTGAGTACATATTTTTATATATACATCTTAAGAAGAAGCACGCACGTCATATATAGTCACTAGGGATGTTGCATGGCGGTTGGGTCAGACTTGGTTTTAGTACAATGAGATTGGTCATTTTTTGAAAAAGATCATGATTCACTGTATTGTCACTTTAATCAAAACTCGTACATAGTGTACTAAAAGTGATCCGACATACTATTTGGTCATTGTACGAATTTTTGATTAAAATGGCAACATATTAATGAACCATTTTTTATGACGTGGTGAATTTTTTTTTTAGAAAATGACTGTTCGGGAAAATTTCAAAACTAGTCCCACAAATATAGGAGGTGACATTTTTTTGTCCCAACGGAATTCAGAAAATATAAATAGTCCCGTAGTTTTTGAAAAATAATCAAAAATAGGACTTTTTTCAATTTTTCGGCCCGGAATGCTAGGTCGCACACACGTGGCGGGACTCTTTAAGATTTTATGGATATCTTTGGACCAAAAATGTCACCTTCCAAAACCTGTGGGACTAGTTTTGATTTTTTTCCTTGCCATTGTACTCAGCCACGTCGGATGAATGTTGCCACGTGTGTGCAACGTGGCATTCTGGGCCGGAAAATTGAAAAAGTCCTACTTTTGATCATTTTTTAAAAGTTGCGGGACTATTAATATTTTCTGGATTCCGTTGGGACAAAAAATGTCACCCCCTATACCTGTGGGACTAGTTTTGAATTTTTCCCATGACTGTTTAGTGAAATTTTTCCGGCAAGACTTCTTGAAACAACATTAACAAAAGTATAAGTATGCATTTTTGTGTGATGGTTTCACTTCATGAATTTGTATTAAATATATAATTTAAAAATTTACATGAAAATCGAAATAACTATAGGCATTTCGAGGGGCTGGACAAAGGCAAAGGGCTCAACTTCATGTTCACGAGAGCCGAGACGAGAACTCAAGGCGGGGTCACCGTACAAACGGCGCTCACTTACATCCACAAGAGCCAAGAACACAAGAAACGAATCGAAGATGCTTTCACGAGCCCAACCGAAGCAGTTGTCTGCTCCGATTCGCTCCAGAGCATGTACGCGCAAATGTTGTGCGGCCTCTATGCGCGTGAACAAGTTCTCTGGGTCGGTAAACTCTTTGCATACGGCCTCGTCCGCGCAATCAAGTTTCTCGAGCAGAACTGGCAACAACTGACCCACGACATAAGAACTGGGTCGCTCGACCCGAAGGTGACCGACCCGGCGATCCGCGACTGCATGTCGCGGATTGCACGACCCAACCCTGTACTTGCGGATTCCATCGCCCGCGAGTGCTCCAACAAGGATTGGGCCGGGATCATCCCCCGAATCTGGCCCAACGCGAAATATCTCAACACAATAGTCACGGGCCCAATGGCCCAATACATCCCGACCCTCCAATACTACGGCGGAGGACTTCCGATAGTGTCCATGGCGTACGCATCGTCCGAATGCTTTCTCGGGATAAACCTTGATCCCACGTGCCGCCCGTCCGAGGTCTCCTACACCTTCATGCCATTCATGGCCTATTTCGAGTTCTTGCCGGCTGACGACCGCTCAGAGCCTGTTGACATGGTCAACGTCGAGTTCGGGAAGGAGTACGAGGTGGTGGTCACTACATTGTCTGGGCTCTACCGGTACCGACTCGGAGACATCGTGCGGGTCTCCGGTTTCCATAACTCTGCCCCGAAATTCCGGTTCGTGAGAAGGAAAGACGTGGTGCTTAACATCGATTGGGAGAACACCAAGGAGACGGAGCTCCAAGAGGCGGTGGAGAAAGCGGCCCGACTTCTCTTACCGCACGGGATTAGAGTGCTCGACTACACGAGTCGTGTGGACCCCACTACCGTCCCGGCTCACTACATCGTGTATTTGGAGCTATTAAACGAGAGTGAGTCGAGTGATCAACTTCGGGCCGTGTGGGAGGAGTGTTGTGTGGCGATGGAGGAATCGTTCAATTGGGTGTACCGTAAGTTGAGGGATAGCTCGATTGGGCCGTTGGAGATTAGGGTTGTGAAAGATGGGACGTTTGAAGAGGTAATGGAGTGGGCCGTGTCACGAGGTGCATCGTTCGGGCAGTTCAAGGTGCCCCGGTGTGTGAGCCGGCGAGAAATGGTCGAACTTCTCGACTCGCGGGTCGTGGCCTCGTACTTTCGCCCGCCATTGCCGGATCAACCTACGGAACCGCGTTACTAGGTGTGGATAGAATATGCATGTCTTATTTTAAATTACATGTTGCAACTCGTTGAGGAATAAAGTGTGAGCGGACACATTTTGGTTGTTAAAAGTTGTGCTTGTTTGTAAAAGACTAATTTGTTGTATGTGACCTTTTAATAATGTGATTTTTTTATTTACAATTTTCTTTTAAAATTTGTTTTAATCTATTTATGTTAGTGATTTACAAATATACATATAAACATGAAGTCAGTGCGAAACCAATAGAAAATTATAAACACTGTGTTAACTTATTGATAGAGAATGATTATTATTATTATTATTATTATTATTATTATTATTATTATTATTATTATTATTACTTTTATGATTAATTGTTAATTGGTAAGAGAATAATTACTTGTTTAGTGGACAAATAAATAATTATCTAGCTTGTTGGGCAAGTTTATTAGACTAAGATTAAGATTATTATATATTGTTCAACCTCGTGACTTTGATATATAGTTAATTAATGAATAAGAAATAATATTGTTTTTTGTATTTTGAGATTGTTCTCAATTTATCTCCCTGCAAAAGTTTCAATCAATACCCATTGACGCAATTCTATTGCATGTATTTCTTTTTCAGCATTTTTGGAATGGCTCCAAAGTCAACTTTAGTGTGCCAATTGCAATTATTATAATAAATAATGTGGCCTTTGTTTATGTTTCCCCACTTCGTTTAACAAAATTTCACGGCAAATTTCACCATATTTGTGGGCTCCGTGCTTATGCTAATACCAATACATTATACATGAAATTAAATTCAAGTTCATTTAATAATAGTTTTTGATTAATTTACAAGTAAAAATCAAAGAAACAAATCAAAACGGGCCCTCACTGCATTTTGGCTTCATTCAGCATTAAATTTCGTCCAATAATTTGGTCATGCATTTAATAACGGGTCAAAATTTAAATTTGATTCTACAATCTGGCCAAATTTCAAAAATCTCCCCTCTTATTGACCGTTTTTAAATTTCATCCAATTATTTGGCAATGTAGTCAATTTTGATCTCTTTTTATCCGTATAGTAGATAAAAAGAATGATGTGATGTGACGTGGCATGCAATTATCCAAAATGGTGTGACGTACGGACTTCATTTGTATTTAATGATTTCAATTATGTTAGGTGGAAAAACAAATGGCAGCTCATTATCCACTCTTCCCTTACATAGTTACATTCTCTCCAAATCAACAAACCTAAGCACCATATAATGTTGGGGAATTTACATATCTGCGGAAACTAATGATTAATCATTGTACATGTTAGCTACCTCCCCTTACTGGTCCTCATTAACGGGCCTTCAACTCTTCGAGGAAGTGACCCAAAAGGCCGACGAGGTTCTAGAGCAAGTGTTGGCCCAAATCCTGGCCCAAAATGCTGGCACTGAATATCTCACGGGCTTCAGTCTCAACGAGCCCAACTGAAGCCATCTGCTCTCCCGACTCGTTCCAGAGCATGTACGCTCAAATGCTCCACGGCCTCTATGCACACGAACAAATCCTCTGGCTCGGGACTCTGTTCGCGTACAGCCTCTCAAAATTGGCGCCAGCTGTCTCATGACATACGAACCAGGTCGCTCGACCCTAAGGCAACCGACCCAGCAATACCCGGTTGCATGGTTCAGACCGTGAAACCCGACCCGGCTGTAGCCGATGACATCACCCGCGAGTGCGCCAAGGACAATTGGGCCGGGATCATCCCTCGAATTTGGGCCCGTGTTAAGTATCTCAATACGATTGTTACTGGACCTATGGCCCAATACATCCTGACTCTCGACAACTACAGCGGAGGAATTCTTCCAATAGGACCCAAAGCCATGTGATCAGTTCACTCCAACTCTTTATGTCCCTCTTTTGCCTTTGGTAGCAACTGCTTTTATGTTTGGTAATAATGTAATATAACATAGAGATTCGTGAATATGATAAAATTATATTCATGAACAAGTATCCAGTATTCAAATGTGAGTTTTGAAACGTCTAGTTGTGATAGGAAACCGAGCAGTTCACGGTTAAGAACGAAAACCAGACGAACCTCGGTCAATGGCTCCGGTTCGCTGGTCAACTGGCCCGAACCAGTAGTTATGTTTGGTGGACATGTCTGAGAGTGGGTCTAGAAATGAATTTACTTTTTTTTTTTTTTTTATATATATTCTTACACCGACTATTATCAAATTAAACATAAGTTCTCAAAGTCCAAATGCACAAGCCTGCAGTTTGGCTGGAAATGTGAGCTTTTAGCCCCCAAAATTAGCTTTTTTGAAGCATTACCTTGTTTGACTTTCTTTCCTTTTTATATTTTTTAGCCAGTCACGGTATTCAGAGTTATACCTCGACTAATTCATTGGTCGACTCGGGTCGCACACCTGACTGTGGTGGGTGAGTCTCCCAACAAAAGTTTTCTGCATCCACAAGGACTCGGGTCGCACACCTTTCTTAAGCGGCATCAAACTGCTTACCACTTGAGTCAATCCCTGTTGGTTACCTTGTTTGACTTTGTCAATTAGCCAATACGACATATTTGGTTATTACCTTTTTTATGTTAGTTGTTTTTTTGTCAAAAAGCCAAAATACCAGCTGTTCTTCGAGCAGCGTTTCGTTCTAGCTTTCGAAGAAAATAATTTCATTGTACTTAATTGTCCCTAATATTATTTAGCCACATTAATCAAAAGATTCAAACTCTCCAAATATCATACTGCCTTTTGCCATTTTAAACCCTACCTTTTTCATGGAATAGAAAAGCAATGACCTTACATAATTTTAATTTGGAGTTTTGGACTATCATGTTATTATTAAACAACTAATTTATCAAAAATGTTTAGCAAAATCTTAAAGTATATTAATATTTTTATGATTAAATATAAATAATTAATTAGTAAACAATTATTTTTTTCAAACACAATTTTATAAAATGTTAATATAACTTGCCGATTGAAATAGCTGATACAGTCCGCTGATCACTAGTTGTACAAAAGTCAAATGGACCTGACTTCGGACATATCGTAGTGGATTTTGTCAGATCTACCAAATGCTATATTCATATGCAAAATAAGAATATGGCCAGTCAAACCCAAACCTCATTCAAGATTAGGGAGAACGTGTCTAAAATCAACCAACAACTAAAGATTTGAGAAAAGAGAACAAATATCTCGAGTGAGTGAAAAATGATTTAATATGCACCTCAAGAACCGACATCGGGGCTTTTCCTTTTGTATAATTAGATCGATAAACGCAATAATCCTAACAATAGATTTAGCTTCATCAGGTCATCTAAGGATGCTAACTCGACCCGAATTTATAACCTCCTTTTCGACTTATCAACCTTCGGGTTAATAAAATCGAGCTACTACACAAGAACTTTCATTTGACATTCTTTCCAAATGTTTCTATGAATTTGGTGGCATGTCACTTGCAAAAGGGTTGTGTGCATTTAATAGTAGTACAATAAATGTATACATCGTTCTGGTATTTAATTTTTAGGAATAAAATCAAGAATGTCTAACTTGTACGAGCTAGTCAATAAATTTGTCTGTTTCAAAATATACATGATCATAAAAATCTTAATGATATTACTATGCATGCATGCTTTTAGCTTTTTTATGTTGGACTTGGTTAGCAGACGGTTCCATTAAGCAAAGGGAGTGAAAAAAAAAATAATAAAATATTTTATTTTAATAAATTCCTATTACCCAACTCATTCCAGAAAAATAATAAAATAAAATAAAATGGTGTAAGAAAGTATTTTGAAATTTTGAAAAAAAAAAATATATGTGTTATCTAAATATTATTTTGATTTATTTTTATTTATAACCTAAATGTTGTGCCTTCACATGAAATCGCTAATAGAATCGGGTAACTAATGAAATTGCTAAAACCAAACAACTATGTATTTTCTGAAATAAGCTACTTGAGTTCAAAGCAAGGAGAAGTATTCCTAATTATGATCTTTACTTCTCCTACTATATATTATTAATTTATGTTTAAAATGGTTTTTCTTTTACTTGAATACAACACAAGTTAGTTACAAAAAGAATATTTA